GGTCGGGTAATCGAGGGGACTTGGAATTCCGAGCACCTCGTTATGTTTAGGCACTAGCCTATTTTTTGTAACCTTTGGACGAAGTGGGGACTCGACCTGCGAGTTAGTCCTGGTCGTCATTTGTAATTAAATTTATTGTTGTAAATATTTGTTTAACCGCCTGCGAGCGGGAAGGTTTAATGTATACACGATCGGTGATTGCTCGACCGTTTGCATACGGCGGCCCGGTCGGTTATTTCCTTTACCTTCATTGCATGCAGATTAATTCATCGTCAAGTTACATCGACCGGACGAGTCTATCAACCGGTCAAATGCGCTCCTCTTCGGCGGACATGTGGGTCACGCCACTGATCGGGAAAGCCAGGAGCTCTCAGCACGATTCCCCGATCCGTCCAACTTCTTTCCACTATTGCACCCTCTCGTGCCTTGCGGGCACAATAGTATGGGGGCTGGGATGAAGGAGGTGTCTAAAGGCCCGTCGCTCGGAAGAAAACCGACCGTGGAGGCTTACATATTTTCAAGGCCCGTCGCTCGGGAAAAACCCGACCGTAGAGGCTTACCTATTTTCAAAATTTTGACGACGCCTGGAGATCGGGTAAACCCGATCGGGTTAGCCAGTTTGACGTCGAAATCTCGGATGCACGACCGGGCCATAAGGCCATAAGGTCGGCTGTCGAACAAGTCGAGTAGTGCAGGACCGGGCCAAGAGGCCCAAGGTCGAGCATTAAAGGTCGGCACATGCATAACTAAAAATAAAAGTGCGAAAAAGAGAACGAGCACAATAAGTTGGACAAAAAATCAATTTCATTGATTAAAAAAGAAAGTGCCCTGTACAAATTCGGGACCGGGCTCCCGATCAAGATCATTACAAAAAAGAAGTATAAATTCTACTTCTTCACGGCCTCGGGCTCGCCCTTCTTCGACACCCCCGTTCCGCTCGGGATGGTTGCGGCTCCGCCCGCCTCTGAGGTCTGCTCCTTTGGGTCGAACGGGGCAGGCCCTGGGTCGGGGATATCGTCAGGAAGCGTGGTCAAAACCAGTTGAAGATCATCTCCTTCGAGGGCTTGTTCCATGATCTTCCGCGTCTGGTCGCGCATCTTCCGTTGGCCGGTTTTGTACGCCCACCGCCCGAACGTCCATACCAGCTTCTCCCCGACCTCGGTGCCCCGAACGGACCGGAGAAAACGAGTGCCCGACTCGTTGTCCCGGAAGAGGTGACGGGCGAGTTCGTCCGGGTTGTTCTGGCGAGCCTTCAGCTCGGCCACTTCCCCGACCGCTTGTTGAGCGACCTGTTCTGAGAGATCCCGCTCGGCTCTCACCTTCTTGAGCTCGGCCTCGAGGTCCCGGATCTCTTGTAATCGCCGATTGGCGACTTTCTTCAGGGCCTCGGCTTCAGTGGCCTGTAAGGCCTGTTGTTGAAGGAATTGGGCCGCTCGGGAGATCTGCAGTGCATGAAAACGATCGAGTTAGCCGAGTGGAGTTACTTGCGTGAAATTTAAAAAAGATTACCTCAGCGTCGTAGCCGATCTTCTCGGCTACCTGGCTCGGGGATAGCTTCGTGACGTCCTCCTTGGCCGGCTCGGTGTTCCCGATCCGGGCGAGGATCGAAGATCCGCCTTTGCTGCCCCCGCCCGAGGGAGTCGGGCTGTGCTGCTCCCGGCGCCGTTTCAGAGCCCCGGTCTCGGAGATGTTCTTCTCCGTCGCCTTCTCCTTCCCCTTCCCGACCGCCACCCGGGCCACCAGGACTTCAGATGCGTCCACCACGTAGCCTTCAGTCGTGGTGACGGTCGACGCCCCTATGGGTCGAGCAACCGGGACTTCTTTGTCCTCGCTCGGCTTGGCTTGGGCTTTTTTCTTGCCAAGCGAGATCTTGGCTACCGGGCGTAGTGGGAGGTCCTCATCTCCGAAACCGGCCATCTCTGCAAACAAAAGAAAGGGTTAGATCAAGTTAAAGGCTCGGTCGGGCTATAAAGGTCGGAAAAGGAGTTAATGTTGAACCTTTGCCCTTCCGTTTTCCCCGGGCGGGCATCCTTGCGATCGTAACGCCCCGGGGTTCGGACTTGTACTTCTCAGGCATATCGTATACGGGCTCGGGCAAGTTGGCCGCCTCGAGGGACTCGGGCGTCTTGAAGATCCGATATTCATAAATTTCGCCCGAGATCTTGGTGGCCGCGTCCTTGAGGGCCTGAGTCTCGGCCGGCACAACTTGTTTCCTGAAATGTTGACTCCAGACCCTCTCGATCGGGAGAATCCATGGATCGTATTTTACAGAAAACAACCGGTTCTTCCATCCACGGTTGTTCCCGGGCAGACCTTCAATCGAGCACATGTCCGCCCGGGATTGGGCCATCAGGTACCCGCCCCCGTACGTGGCTGCTAGCACCTTCACCTGGTAGATGAAGTTGAAGTGTTCCATGGTGCAGGCCAGCCGGTGTCGACCGCAGATCTGCGGGAAGCATGCAATCATCCGGTGCGCGTTCGGGCAGATCTGCCCGGGCACCACCTGGTAGTAACCCAGGAATGCGGTGAGGAGGCTCGAGAAAGGGAAAGTGATCGGGGCCATGAGGGAGTCGTAGTGCATCCCGAGCCACTTTCCCCGGTGCCGCTCGATAATATTCCCGAGCTGCCGGCTTGTGTCAAATTCGACCCGGCCGGCGAGAGTTGCGGCGATTTTGGCTGCTTCACCCTTGGTCAGCTTACTCATCTAGGTTGCGACGCTCTCGCTGTTGAGGAACTCGAACCCGTCCCCGCCTGGCGCTGCCGGCCCGGCCGGGTTTTCCTCAGCTGCCCCCCCGTCGTCTGCCCGGTTGCCCTCTTGGGGCTCAGCCTGAGGGTAATCCCCTATTACCCTCGTAGGCGTTCCCCTGGCATCTTCAGCCGGGGAGTTTCGTCCGCTCGTGGACGTTTCGTCGCTCCCCGACCCGCTGGAGCTCGACCTCGATGTCTCCGAAGAGCTTGATGACCCTTCTGGCTCGGGGGCTCGGTCGGGGATTTTTTGTGGTCGTTGCTCGACCTCCGGAGAGTAGGACATGATGTCCACCTCCTCGCTGCTTTGCTCGACCGTGTTGTCGTAGTCTGCGACCGAGACATTCTGGCTATCCGAGTCCGACATTTTTTCTACCTAAAGGTCGGTCGAGGTTAGTATAGGGCTCGGGAAGTTAGATCGGAGTTAGTCCTACCCTACTCCTATGCAAAGCTAAAAATAAAGTAAAAGCTAAGGAGTAAAGAGCTTACTGATCAGAGGAACTTGGCTGAAGTGCGCAAATGAGTTGCTCGGTTGATCTGCTGATTAGCTCGCTCGGGACTCTCTGAGGATGCCGATTGGATCAGAAGATTGTGGAAAGTTCAAATGAATGCCTCAAGGGCCTATTTATAGGAGAGCATTTGGGCGGGAAACCAACTCACTTGCGCGATGTGACCCGCACTGATTCCGAGGCGACCGTTGCAGTCGTAGATGCCGGCAGTCGCCGACACGTGGCGAAAAGAGGAATGACAGCTGGTCGGTCGGTTTGGTAGCTGGCGGTTGGGCTTTTTCATCCCGTCCCGTTTTTTCCCGGACGGTCAAAAAGGCCCGGGCTGGGGGGCTCTTGGTAGGGAATATCCCGACCGACATGATTTTACCCCGGCTGGTGTGCCTTTGTCTTTTTCTTCTTGTCTTTGCAGGTAACAGGTCGGGCTTCTTGTGAAGAACCCGGTCGGGGTCCGACCGGGAGTTGCCCGAGCGACAGTGTCGACCACCGAGCGGTAGCCCTTTGGCGAGAGAGCTGACAAAGGACACGTGGCGGTTCCTTGCGACGACAGACAGGGCACCCGGGAGGATGACACGTGGTGGCTATGTGGAGAGCATGCCGAACGACCGGATTTGTGTCTCCGGCGCAGCGGCTATAAATACCCACAGTAGCTACAGTGTGAGGGACTTTTGGACGATCGATAGGTTGTTGTTAGAGAATCCCGACCGCAGTCAGTCGGTACTCAGAGCAACCAAGTAGATTGTACTTAGGGCCTTCACCGTGATCAATAAAGATATTTACTTGCTTTATTTGGTCTCGTGTTTGTTTAATTATTGCTTACGTGGTAATTAGCAGTATCAAGTATGATAACACCTTTATTACCATTCTAAATATAGCTTCACTTGCTATAATAGCACGCAAACTATACTAGAGTTATATTACACTTTTGTTTATAAAACTATACTAGAGTTTATGTTACACTTTTGTTTTTATTAAAAATGTACTTTTTGTTATATTACCATGCCAACAAATTAACTAATACAAATTTCAATCTATATCTGATTTTTCAAAAAAAAAAAAAATTACTTTTTGATTTACTGCATATAAATTTCTATTGAGAATTCGTAATTTTAATGTCTTTTAGTATTACATATTATCATAAAAGGTCATGTTTGATTACATAGTTAGCTTATCGGTCAACTTTGGCTTGTTTAATCACTATTAGTGTTTTCAAAAAAAAAAAAAAAAACACTATTAGTTGTTTGAATATGTTAAACAACCCATATAAGTGTTTGATTAATTAGTTTTTTTAACAGTTATTGCTCCAAAATATTAAAATCCAAAGAACTACTGAAAGAAGCTTTTTCGATCAATTTTTTGAGAAAGCCATTTTGCATGTAATCAGCTAATATTATCAACTAATATTATCAAACAACTAATTTACCAAACATTTTTCTACAATCAGCTAATATTATCAACTAGCTAGTCAAACCCATGTCACTAACCCAATCAGCTAACAGCTATTTACCAAACACCCCCAAAATCTAAACCACAATGTCACCCGTTAAAATTCCAGCTTTTTTGGTTTGAGCTGTCAATTATGTACAACTTAGGTTGATTTACCTCTTTATGACCGTGACTCTGTGAGTTCGGCTAATTTATCTCTTTCTGGTTCTTTACTGACATAAATTACAAAGTAGAGTTTACCTCGTACACACTCCTATGACTACACATTTCTCTAGTCACCCAAAAGATATAATACAAAAAAAAGAAAGTAAAAAAAGAGTTGATATTATTAGTTCACCAAAAACTGTTGCATGCATGGATGGGATACAAGTCATACAACATTACAACATACAAGCATAGGCTTCCCGCCGTGATTCCATGAACCTGCTACGGGTACAGACGCCATTATTTATACGTTAATAACAACTATTATAATATATTCCATGCATCATTTCTGGTGCTCATCAACTCAAAGCTGCAGCCTACTCAGCTCTAACGAAGTTAAAAGGATATGGAAATTCCTCGTTGATTCCCAGCTGACGACCCTGCCCGACGGTGCCAATACGCCAGTAACCAATCCTGCAGTAAGAGCAAAGGCTTGGCCAGAAGGTGAAAACGTACCCCCACCCTCCACCATTGATATTCTTCTGTATCCTAAACCAGTTGGCAATATCACCTTCGTCCCCAATCTCGCCGCCGGTCACTATCACCGGCTTCTCCCCCGCGCCCTCCTCCCCTCCCTCGAGCCTCCACACCGTCTCTTTCGCACAAGGATCCGAATCTTCCCGGTAGAACGCCACGTTGAGTGGGAGGCTTTCCTGGACTTCTTGGAGCCCTCGGCGGGGGTAGAAAACTAGGGGGAGGCCCTTGGCGAAAGGGCGGACGCCGGCGACGCTGGTGTTGAGAACGACGGCGTTTGGGCAAGTGGATTGTTGGGTTTCTTGGATTGGGGAACTGTCGAGGCTTATGGCGCCTTCGACGCCGAGAGTGGCCGGAACGGCGTAGTATTTTTCTCCGGGAATTAGCGGGTTGCCTTCGGCGTCTAGAACGGGCTGGTTTCCGGGGAAGGGTTCCTGGGTGGGGAGGCGGATGCGCGGAGGAAAAGCGGCTGAGATGGAGAGCGGAAGGAAAGAAACGGAGAGGATGCAGAGAATGATTAAGGTCTTCATTTTGAGGATACAATAGACAAGAATGCGAGGGGCTTGTATTGCATAAGAAGTGTCACGGGAGCACAAATTTATAGACAGAGCAGTGCATGGAATATTTAACACGTATGGAAATTAGCTGCTAATGATGTCCTCCTACTATTGTCTTTTTCTTCCTTATATTCCTCTCCCGATGCGAATTCAAATTTGTATTATCATTACATTTTGAAAAACTAGGAAGATGCTAGATGTATTTCTAACTAGTATAAATTCTAGTGCGCATATTTTATTGGATAAAGTTAAACACATAAAGTTTCAAAGTGATGCATGTACCTTAAGTTTTGAAATGATACATGTACTTTAAATTTTGAAGTGATGCACCTTAAGTTTCAAAGTAATGTATCGATCTTAAGTTTCGAAATTATGTACCTTAAATTTCGAACTGATGCACTTAAGTTGCGAACTGATACACCTTAAATTTCGAACCTATACACCTTAAGTTTTGAACTGATGCACTACCTTAATATTCAAACTTATATATGTACCATATGTTTCAAATTAATGCATCTTAAGTTTTGAACTTATGCAGCTTAAATTCTAAGTTATGCACCTAAACTTCTAATTTATGTACTAAATTACACTATAATGCAACCGCACTTTTTTTTGTTTTTAATTTTTCATTATTCTAGATTGTTGATTTTGCTAGATCAATGGATGAGATTTTACCTGATTTTTTACTTAAGATCTCCTTCATATGTGATCATGTCATTAGTGTTAGACTAAAATATCACATGCACCATATAATATGTGATTACAGGATCGACTAACCTCCAGCCATAGTCTTCTTGTTACGGTTGAGCGATCCGGACTGCTGCAGAGATAACGAGTATTTTGTCTCTCACTTTACTCAGCTCTCTCTAGATGGTGTATGAGGTATGTAATGTGAGCAGTGAGAGGACTAGTGACCTTATATAACCACTGGCCATCATTGTGGTTGATTGTCTTTAGGTCTCCTAAACCCTAACCAGACTCCTAATCATAATGGTAGTCTAGCTATTAGGTTATTAGTGTTGCACCACATATCAAATACTGAATATTATCATAACTTATCCTAATGTTATAATAATAGTAACAGATAAACGTTACATTCTCCCACTTGGTGCAAGCACTACCACTCAATAACAGAAAAACACCAACCATAATGATATGTTCTCATTAGCACGAGTAGTATCCATTATGATCAAATGCAAACTGCCATTGAGCACTTAATTAGGAAACAAAACCCAACGAAATAAACCTTATGTTTATTCCAAGTCCCTGAAGTACATTTTCTCATCAATATGAAGCAAATGAAGGTGTACACACTTAATTGAGAAAATGTCTGAATGTCAAAGAATTTTAAACTGAATGTATATACAAATTCCATAGTGGGAAAAAGTCCCATTTTCTGAACCAGATCCTTGAACTTAACTGAAGGCATGCATTTAGTCAAGGGATCTGCTGACACCAACTCAGTATGAATGTGTTCAAAGAATACAACTTTATTTTTGACACGCTCCCTAATTGCTAAGAACTTGATGTCGATGTGCTTAATTCGACTCCCACTTTTGTGGTCTTAGCTAGGAAGACTGTAGCTGAGTTGTCACAGTAGACTTTCAATGGCTTAGATATAGAATCCATAATTCTAAGCCCAGAGATAAAATTCTTTAGCCAAACACCCTATGAAGTTGCCTCGAAACTGAAAACGAACTCGGCTTCCATGGTAGAAGTAGCTATTAAGGACTGTTTAACACTTCTCCATGAGATAGCCCCACTGGCCATAATAAAGACGCACCCTGATGTTGATTTCCGAGAATCAACACAGCCAGCAAAGTCCGCGTCTGAATGACCGACAACATCTAATTTGTCCGTCTGCCTAAACCCAAGCTTGTAACCTTTGGTTCATCTTAGATACCTTAGAACCCTCTTTACAGCTCTCCAAAAGTCTAACCCTTAGCTATGGGAGCAACATTAGATGAACAATTTTGCACATGAAATCTCTCTAAAACTTTGTTTATATAGGTTTCTTGAGATAAACCCAGTATACCCCGGGACCTATCTCTACGAATTTTAATGCCGATAACGTAAGAGGCATCACCCAATATCCTTCATATCAAAGTTCTTAGAAATAAATTGTTTCACGAAGCATCCCCTTATCATTGGTGGCAAGTAAGATGTCATCCACATATAAAACAAGGAAGCAAATTTCACTCCCACTCACCTTCTGGTATATGCAGTTATCTGAGGGATTTTCAACAAAACCAAATGAAGAAATTACCCCATCAAATTTGATGTACCAGTTAAGCTTACATACTAAATGCTCACCACCCCTAGAAGAGAAACCTTCAGGTTGTTTCATAAAAACCTCCTCTACTAGATCACCGTTTAGGAAAGCGGTTTTCACATCCATTTGTTGCAACTCAAGATTAAAATGTGCAACTAATGCCAGAATGATCCGAAGTGAATCTTTCTTTGATACAGGAGAAAAGGTCTCCTTGTAATCGATTCCTTCTTTTTGAGTAAATCCCTTGGCAACAAGCCGGGCCTTGTATCTCTCAATGTTGCCTAATGAGTTTCGTTTAGCCTTAAAGACCCATTTACAACCAACGGCCTTGGCCCCATTAGGCAACTCAACAAGATCCCAAACTCCATTGTCCTTTATGGAATTTATTTCATCCTTCATGGCTTCTAACCATAAGTCAGACTGTGCACAATTTGTGGCTCGAGAGAATGTTTCGGGATCATTTTCTGCCCCTATGTCAGATTCTTGTAGATACAAAACATAATAACTAGGAACTGCTGATCGCCTTATCCGAGTAGACCGTCTTAAGGTTGGACCTCCACCGCCTTGCACAGGCTGCAGGTCAACTACCTCTTCAGGAACTGGTGGCAGTTCTTGAATTGGTTTAGTCTGCATCGGCTCAGAATCTTGCTGTATATCCTGAGTTGGTTCAACCATTGGTTTGAAATCTAGTTCAGGCGGTTGCTGTAAGTCCTGAACTGGTTCTTCCAAAGGTTGATCCTCAACAGTTTGCGGAATCTCAACGGTAGGTGGTATATCTGCAGGCAGAACTAAAGGAGCACTGCGGATAAGTACAACCCCACCAGATGACGTAGAAGGTTGAGAGTCAATATGATCGAAGGAAAGAACTAAGTCCTTAAACCGATCACTCCCACTAATCAAGTCATCTTCAAGAAATTTAGCATTCCTTGATTCCACTATCCTAGTAGTATGAGATGGACAATAGAATCTATAACCCTTAGAGGACTGTGCATATCCAATAAAGAAAACACAAATCGTCCTTGGGTCAAGTTTCTTCTCGTGTGGGTTATATATCCTCACCTCAGACGGACATCCCTAAACACGCATATGTTGCAAACTCGGTTTCCAACCTTTAAATAACTCAAACGGTGTCTTAGGGACAACCTTGGTTGGAACACGGTTTAATATATACGTTGCCGTCTTAAGTGCTTCATCCCACAACGACTTAGGAAGCTTAGAGTTGCTAAGCATACTCCGCACCATATCCAGAAGGGTCCAGTTTCTTCTTTCAGCTACACCATTTTGGTCCGGAGAACCAGGCATGGTGTATTGGGCAACAATCCCATGCTCTTGAAGAAACTTAGCAAATAGACCAGGTGCTTGCCCATTCTCATTGTATCTACCATAGTATTCACCACCCCTATCAGACCTAACTATGTGTATTTTCCTGTTACATTGGTTTTCAACTTCAGCTTTAAATGATTTAAAGGCATCCAATGCTTCATGTTTATGATGAAGTAAATACACATAGGAAAATCTTGAGAAGTCATCAATAAAGGTGATGAAATATTTCTGACCAGGTATTGTCATATCAGGACAACATATGTCAGTATGAATAATTTCCAACAACGTTGAACTCCATTGGCACCTTTCTTTGACTTGTTTGTCTGCTTACCCTTAATGCAGTTAACGCAAGTCTCAAAGTCAGTATAGTCTAGAGTAGAAAGTACTCCATCCTTTACCAACCTTTTAATATGCTCAAGGGAGATATGACCTAATCTCCGATGCCACAACATTGAGGAATTGTCGTTAATACTACACCGTTTGGTGCCGTTTTGAACATGTAAAGAATTGTAAACTGAATCATTCTTTAATTTAAGACGGAAAAGACCATTAGACAATGTACCAGTACCAACACAAGTAAAATAACGAAATAACTTGATATTATTGGTATTAAATTCAAAAGAATAACCGAAGGGTACAAGTCTAGATACTGAAACTAAGTTCCTAGAAAACTAGGAACATAAAATGTCTTTTCTAACGTCATTACAAAACCATTGTCCAAAACTAAATTGCAAACTTCGACAGCTTCGACTGGTGACGCAATCTTGTTTCCAGAGAAGATGCTACACTCAGTTCCCGTTGGCTGTCTCAATTTTGTCAAATCCTGCAAAGAGTTTGCAATTTGGATTGTTGAACCAGAGTCAACCCACCAAGAATTAGTATTAACTTCTGACATATTAAATTCGAAACAAACAAAAGAAGATGGAACATACCCAAGCTTAGCCACAAGCCTTTGTTCCTCCATTGCACACATGGTTATCAACTCATTGATAGACCAGTCCACTTTATGTGTGATGTAGGAAATCTTAAAAGGATTGTACTCTTGAGGAAGGGTATCAAGTGCAAAAAACACCAAATAATCATCTGGTAGAATGATTTCCAACTCCTTTAACTGAGCCGCAATATCCCTGAGTTGCATAATGTGTTCACGCGTTCCCTTGACAGTGGAAAGACGCAAATTTCTCAACTTCATGATTAGAGTCATTGCCAAAACTTTCTTTGATTCAATGAAGTTATCATCGATAGCTTTGAGCAAGGGTTTCTCTTTCTTAATGTCCTCAAAGCAAAAACGAATTTTTCTAGAAATTCTTGACTTAATGAAGAGCACACATAATCCATTGGATTTCTCCCATTGTGCGCGAAGCTGCTTGGCTTCGCCAGTGCTTTCTTCAGTAACCTCAGGGGGTTCCTCATTGAGAACAGCGTAATCCAACTCTAATAATCTTAATTGCAAGAGAATAGCATCTTTCCATTCTTTGTGGTTATCTTCAATAAGGATTGGAACATTAATTTGTGTTTGGGTGCCAGGATGAGTTGCTGTAAAGAATAATAATTAATGCTTGGTTAGAATTTTCGAGGCACAAAAAATTAGAGAGAGATACTGAAGTACATAATATTACCAATGTAAAATTATGCAAAAGATAAATTCGGATGCCATAAAAATTGCCTGTGGGCTAAATTTTTACGCATAATGAATTTACCAAAACTGAATGGTGGAAACGGAATGGGTGCGATTTTAATTTTTCCACCCTTAATGACAAAACTACCAAAACTATATGCCGATACATAATCCCTGTGGGAAAATTATGATCATAGTATGGTATTTCATCCTAATTAACCCTACAAATATAACAAAATTGCCTGTGGGCTAAATTTTGCCATATCACGCAGAGTGAATTACAATATTCTTGCATTAACTTTATGTGAGTAAAACTTAATATGTAATTTTGGAAAAATTAAAGATGCATTGGCTACTCTTTAATTAACCAAAGAACATAATCACATTAGCAAGAAAACCTAATTAACAAACAGATTAAACCAAAATATGATAGACAATCCTTAGGTATACTCCCAGGAAAGTTGGTCGAGACGAAGCTCGGTTAAAAACCAACTCCTTAGACAGAGTAACATCGCAAGGGGACTAGTAGCAACAAGGCTTTTAAGCCAGGGCCATAGAACTAGTATTCCTCCCCAAGAAACTTCCCTAATTCATGTGTTCTCATTTTTTGAAGTAAAATCGTTTGAGAGATCTAAAGAGTAGTTTCACCTATGGATAAGGCTTTGAATAGGGTAACTACGAATTGTTTATGTACTTTATGTGCTTTAGGAACTTTATAAGAGCACGAATGGAGTAATAACTGAAGAGTGAGTAATAATATGCATAATCTAACCTGAAAGGCACAAATTCACCTAACGACACTAAATCATGCATAATTAGCATATAATTCAGACAAAAAAGGCTCTAAATTTTTCTTAATCAGCATGCTTTTCTACAGGCATAATTATAACAGTCAAATAATTATTGCAATAAAGACATAAATAGCATGCTCAGATTATGCACATTACTCACAAATACTCCACAATTAAATTGTAACACTTAATACAATTTAAACTGAAAAACATTATTAAATTAAAATTCAACTGAAAAATTAAAACTGAATAATTATTCAAAGTTGAATAATAATTTAATAATAGACTTAATAAAAAAAAATTTCAATTGGATAATTTAATTAGAAGAAGTCCAAATATGATGAAGATGTTAAACTGAATGAATTGATGTAGTCCAAATATCAATTCAGGTTTGACCCAAAACCATAACAGGCCCAAAAAAAAATAATAATTATAATAATATTTTTTTTTATTATGAGCCCAATTGGGCCAAACCTGGCCCAATAACTAAATCCATCTTCATTCATCTTCTTCTTTAACGCAACAGTAGCAGCACAGACCGTGGACACCAGCGACGGGTAGAGGAGCAGACTTTTGCGTCACCGTCCGTCCGTCCGTCCGTCCGTCTCCATCACCGGAACCTTGTTCTTGATGGCAACTGAAAGGAGAGGACGACCAGAACCAAATTTATTGTTTGTTCGTTGATGAATCGTCGACTCCAACCATGAACAAAGGGCCGATGATGTACTGAAGACCGGCGACCGGAATTTCGAAAGGACGGCGAAGCAGAAAATATTATCCAATCTTAATTTTTTTTTTTGTTTGTTTCTTAATGCGGAATAAAAACTTAATTTCCAACAGCAGCCCAGATATACAATTGCATACAAATATTTAAACATGTATCTCAATTATACAATGTATACAACATATTCAAATATAATATATATGCAATTAAAAAAAAACTAGGCAGAGATTATGTATGGCGACTGATACCAACTGTTAGACTAAAATATCACATGCACCATATAATATGTGATTACAGGATCGACTAACCTCCAGCCATAGTCTTCTTGTTACGGTTGAGCGATCCGGACTGCTGCAGAGATAACGAGTATTTTGTCTCTCACTTTACTCAGCTCTCTCTAGATGGTGTATGAGGTATGTAATGTGAGCAGTGAGAGGACTAGTGACCTTATATAACCACTGGCCATCATTGTGGTTGATTGTCTTTAGGTCTCCTAAACCCTAACCAGACTCCTAATCATAATGGTAATCTAGCTATTAGGTTATTAGTGTTGCACCACATATCAAATACTGAATATTATCATAACTTATCATAATGTTATAATAATAGTAACAGATAAACGTTACAATTAGGTGTGATCGTGTGGTCGTATCTGTGTCGTTGAATCAGTTTAATCTAACGGCAGTGGTAATTCTGAGAATTTTCGTGCGTTTTGATAAGTGGGGTTGTTATGGTAATCACAGTGGCCATTTATAGCAGGCGAAATTCAGAATACACCAACAGTGTTGACAACATACACCAATAGTGTAATAAAACACACCACAGTGAAACACACCAATGGTGTATTCCCATGTTATAGTAATTACAGCGGCCATTTATAGCGGCCGGGTTCCAGAATACACCAACAGTGTTGACAACATGCACCAACAGTGTAATAAAACACACAACAATGTGATTTTTTCAATTTCGGTGTTTTATGACGAGTTTACCCTTGCAGTTTGCTAGGTAGGAGAATGTGAACGAAAATACTGGAAAAATCTTGATTAATATGATTCATTGGATCTATCTAATCTAATGGTCTATAATTGATCATATGACCACACCTAACAACATGACCACATGTGATCACCCCTCTATATATATATATATATATATATATATATATATATATATATATATATATATATATATATATATATATATATATATAATCATAATCAGGTACGAACCAGCGAAACTACTGAAGAATTGCACTGCAACGACTACATGATTGAATTCATTGCACCGCAACTGATAAATTGTTACTAATGAGAGAAAGTATAATACTTATATGGAAAATGTGATACTTTTGAAAAAAATTATAAAAAAAAAAAAGTAATACTTTTAAATCAATAATTAATAACTAATAGTACTATAAAAAATCAATATCAATATTTAATATTAAAAGTTGAAGAGTTACTTATGATGAAAGTTATAGTAATTAACGTGTAAAAATGTAACACAAAAAAAAAAAAAAATAAAAAAATTTCCACCCATGACATGGATGATCTATGCATGAAACAGTCCCATAAGAAAATTTGGCGTTATAATAAATATATTATTATATTTTATAAGAGCAATATAAAATATTAATGATGCACTGTTAGGAGTTACACTAAATTTCTTTTAATCTTGAAAAAAAAGAGATTGAAATGCCAACTTTCCCAACGGAAATTCATTACTTTTCATGCATGAGACCTGCACCATACACAAATATGAGGTTTGTAACTTTGTACCCATTCTTTACGCTAGCCATAGCGCATTTGTAGGTTTAACTTTTACCATTTCTCTCGGCATCGTTATGCCCCATCCACTATATATAGATCAATCTTAGAAACTAACTTCATCAGATCACAAAATAATCATTTAACTTTGTCTTTGTTTCATTCGAGGTTGAGGGGGGACTTGATCTCCTAACCTTGGAAGCCAATAATCCTGAGTCTTTGAGGTGTGTCATTTTTACTCTTATGTTAACTTCAAGTTTTCTAAAATTCCTTGACACTTTATTGAAATTATTTATTGTTTGCAGAATGGCTGTCTCACCAAGGTCAAATGATTGGATATGTTTGCTGATTTTTTCTTTGGTTATAAGTGTGCAATATGTAAACTCCAATCCTATTCCCACACCTATTATTCAGGATCTCGATCTTCTTATTCCCAAAACTATTATCCCGGGTGCCGATGAGAAAGGAGCTGGTAAATTATATACAATTTAAAACTATAGTTCATTAAAGATGTGTATTGTTTTTAAGTAATTTAATATTTAATTGTTATAAAATGTTTAGTTTGTTTGGATGGGAGTCCCCCCGCCTATCATTTCTCTCCTGGGAAAGATGAAGACGCGAGCAATTGGCTCATTTACCTTGCAGTGAGTGATCAAAAGCGAATTGTGTGTGTGTATATATATATATATATATATACAATCAAAGTTTAATTTTGTTATTTTGATTTTTAATTTAGGGAGGAGGGTGGTGTACTAGTAATGACACATATTCTACTCATGACCTCTCTGTTGAGAGTTGTTCGAGTCGTATGAAACGTGAATTGGGTTCTACTTTCAACATGGCACCTTTCGTATTTAAAGGCATATTCGGTATAAATGCAACCTTTACTAAATTTTATAAGTGGAATCGAGTTATTATTCGGTATTGTGATGGTGGGTCATTCGCGGGAGATGTTGAAAAACCTGATCCGGTATGCATCTCAGCCTTTCATCTTTTAAAATACAGATACACCTCATATGTATATAAGCATTGTCTATTTCTATTAGGTCACTAAACTCTACTATAGAGGAGCAAGGATTTTCCAAGTGGTTGTGGATGAGTTAATGGCAAAGGGAATGAAAGATGCCAAGAATGTAACTTTCTAAACTTGTTTATATTTTTATAAGTAACAATATATTGTTACAATAGCGTTAAACCTTTCATTTGTTTGATTATAGGTTATCTTTGCCGGCGGTTCAGCAGGTGGATTAGGCGTGTTGGTACACTGTGATCGTTTTACTAGTCGATTTCCAAAAGGAGTTAGAGTAAAATGCCTTTCAGATAGTTCTCTCTTTCTTATCGTGTAAGACTAATTGATATAATAATGAAATTTAAAAACAATATATATATATATATATATATATATATATATATATATATATATATATATATATATATATATATATATATATATAAATGCTAACAATACTAATGTTTGATTAATGTGGTTCTTGCATGATTATCTGAACAGGAAAGATCCCGAGCGTGCAAAATACTTTAAGGCTGTTTTTAGTGATATAGTTGCTCTGCATGTAATAATTCTCCACTCCTTCCCTCTTGGCCTTTGTGTGTTTATATTTAACATTTTTCTATTTTTCATTTCTGACAAGAAATTGATTTTGGATTTTATTTAGCAACCAAACAAGTCATTACCTGTAGAGTGCACTTCAAAAATGAGTCCATTTGAGGTATAAGTTTAAATAAGCATATTTCTAAACAATATATATATATATATATATATATATATATATATATATATATATATATATATATATATATATATTATTTACATTCAATAACATAATATATATATAAACTTTGAATTTGTGCAGTGCTTCCAACCAAAAAATTTGGTGCAATATGTAAAATCTCCTCTATTTATTTTCCATTCAGCATACGATTCATTTCAGGTTAGCTCTACTTAATTTATTGGTGTATTTACATGCTTAATATTAATTTTTATTTTTGGTAATGTTAATTTGTGGCTTCTTAATAGGTGCAAAATACTTTCTCGATGGATTTGTACAGAGCCATTAAGAATAGATCGTCTATTAGCCCAACTGATATGGCTCTGCTACAAGGCATGTTCCCATTTTTATCACAGAATAGTTTTATTCAATAAATTAAATTAATTTCAATGTGACATTTTAATTTTTTTGTTTCAGATTTCAAAAAACAAATAATAAGTGCATTGCCAAAACCAAGTGCCACCAAAGGATTTATAGTTACTTCTAACTTCGGTCATAGCTTTGCTTCAGCCGACTATAAGAAGCGTATGTTTGCAGATTCGAAATCAAAGGTAACAAAATAAAGTCTTGGATTAAAGATTTTTTTTTTTTTTTTTTTGAATATACCCTTTCTTGTGGTCCTAGTGGATGAAGGACCACGAGAAGGTAATCTATACATTATGACATACAATCTAACTTCTTTCTTCTTTTTTTTTTTCTTACCAGACCATCGAGGACGGATTCTACAATTGGTTCTTTGACAAACATCCTATCAATCTCATAGACCCAAACAACGTGCCATTTATGTTTTGAATGAAATATTTGTGATCTCTTCATTGTACTTTGATAAATATATATAATATAATGATCTTTTTATTCACTATTTATACACACGAACTTTTATATATATATATATTTTTGCATATTGTGGCTTGATCAAATAAGCTCGTGAATTATATTAATTTGTTCAATCAAAGTATTATTGAAATTCTGGAGACTTTATTAATGTTAAAATGAAATTTCTCAACAAAAGAAAAAAAAATGATAAGATTAAATTTTATACCATGACTTATCAGTGTAATATTTTAAATTATAAAAATAAATAATGTTTGCGAATATTAATATAAAAAAAGATTCAGTAAAACCTGCAGGTTGCTGATCTGTTAACTAAGCCACTCAAACTAGCAGCATTTCAGAAGTTGAAGGCAGTTGATGAAGGAATAACGGTTAGAAGCCTTGTTGGACGACGCCGTCTTGCTTATTTTGAATAATTGCCTTCTGCTGGTTTGTTAATTAGAATCAGTTGTGTAGTGCGTGTGATTAGTTTTTAGCTTTATTATATATTTGGTTGGGAGTGTATGATTGGATATTTATATATTGAGTTTGAATACAAGTACTATCTTCTTCTTGACCTCTCTTCGATCTTCTCTAACCCCTAATCTTCATTCTCTTTTATTCTTTTTCTATCTTTGTTCTTCGTCTAAGGTTGTTGTTACAGAAAGCAAGCGTTTGGAGGAAGGCTTAGCATGAACTGCTTGTAGGAAGTGGTAGGATATGGAAAGAAATGCTCTAGTGTAGACACGGCCTTTAATATTTAAAGAAAGACACGTGTCAATGAGAGATCGTAGGAGCATGACAAAGTTGGTTGACGTTGACAGTGTAGCCTCATCATATAAGTCGCATTAAAGACAGTGGATAAAGATTTACACTCCGTCATGCAGCACGTTTTAAAATATTTGTCATGTATCTTTGTTAAGAAAACAAAATTTCATCTCACACTTAACAATTTCAATCCCAAGAAAGAAATCAGGTTCGCCATCTAGAACATAAGTGAAGCTTGAATCTTGCGAGTAGGAGGAAATTGTTAACAACCCATTCAAAAAAGCATTGTGCACATCAAGCTGCTTAACAACCCAACTAGATATAGCTAGAAAGAGAATAACCTCACAGTTGTGGGTTTGACCCTTTTTAATAATAATAATAATAATAATAATAATAATAATAGATTAATAACTAATTTTTTATCTATGTATTTTTTTTGAAGGCAAATAATAGCGATTCATTAATGAATGAACATAGTAATAGAGTCATGAGGGATCGAGTCCCAGTACATAGAATGATCCTGAACAAATGCTAACTGAAAAAGTGCCGTGAATCTTGAATTCAATTATACGAGATATTTGCATAAAAATAAAACAAGTACTCAGAGATTGATCACGCTTCTCCTACGTCTGCGGGGAAACCCACGTCTGCCCAATCCACTATAGATGTTCACCCATGAGTATTACAAGAGGTAAGTACAAATGGCCCTTGTTGGTCCCGGCAGTATTGGCGAGAGTCTAGAGGGGGGGGGGGGGGGGGGGGGTGAATAGACTCTTTTCGTGTTTTGCTAAACAACAACCTTTCGGAGTTTTAGCGCAGCGGAAGTTCGTTTTACTTGCTTTGCACAATTTGACGTTATAAAGGAGACTTTCGGTATTGGCGCGAAAGATGATATGATGCAGTAAGTAAGTAGAGTAAGTAAAAAGATAGGGAGACGAGAGTTTTATAGTGGTTCGGCCAACTTTGCCTACTCCACTCTTCTTCCACAACTTATGGAAGGTTTGCACTATCACTCGTTAGTACAAATACACAAAGACTTCCTTGATCACTAAGCCGGACAGCCTTCGTAGGTTTTTCAACTCCGCGAGTTTACTCCGCCTCTATCAACGTCTTCTTCAGAGTTGAGGTTGGTAGAAAATGATTTCTGATTTCTCCAACGTGATGAAGTCTTGACTGATGAGGGATGATTGCTTCGTACAAGTTGCAAGACTTCTTTAAGGTGTAAGATGAATATCAATGAGTTTCTTCAAGTATCTTTGCACCTTAACACTGGTTCACAAAAGCTTGAGAGAGCTGGGAGCGTTTAAGAGCTTTTGCTTATAGATAGATTGAGTGATAAGAACCAACACCTTCTTAGTTGGTGAAGGTGGGTTTATATAGGTGATGAGAAATTCATCCGTTGGAGGGAGATGAATTTTCAAACCTATTGTCCAGTGGGTAAGGACCGGGGAGCTTCCCGCATTAAATGCTCCATTAATGAGGTTGTACCTTGTAGCCGTTGATGGCATGGAGAGCCTTAGGGTTTTGTCCTTTAGCTTAAGGAAAAAGTACATCTTCATTTAATGCTCCTTGGTATGCGTGTTCCAAAAGTTGAGGTCCTTTTGTTCGTAGGATGTTGTCAAGTCAGACAGTGGAGACATTCTTCTTGCTATAGAGGAGAAGGAGTGTCTTGAAGGATTGTCATCAATAAGACTGTCCTTTCGAGCTAAATGACAACTCCTGGTTAACTCTCGTTGCGGTTGCTTCATGCTTCGTGTCTTCTTTCGTCTTGATAACCCTAACAACTAAGCATAACTCGTCTTCGTGTGTTTGACTAGCTTAACACGAATTACATGTGAGTTATGGCAACTCTCGTCTAAGAAGAAAGTGGCGATTGAAATTAATAACGGTTAGGGGTTTACTTTCTAGGTTACATTGGTATCATCAAAATCCTAATACAAGGTTCCTAACAATTTCCCCCTTTTTGATGATGCCAAAACCTATACTCTTCTTATAAGGCTGATAAAAGTTCCATAACGGATTTTCTATTACAAGGCAGCCATACTCGATAGTTTACAAGTCTTTTCTAGATAAAAGCAATTAACAAGTAAGACAAGGACAAGTAACTTAGACAAGTGACACGAGATGTGTAACAACGAGTACTTTATATAAAGATAAAGATCATTACAAAAACTTTTTAAAGAAGGCATAAAGGAAGTGCATCTTACAAGTCTAGAAGATTCGTCTTCTGTAGCTGATCTTCTTATCGTTCACGAATTTCCCTTTCTTCTTGCTTTTTGATCATTCTTTTGGTGTCGATCTCCTTATTTATTCGATCTCTGAAGACCTTGATTGGATTTGTCTTGACTAGATCTTCGTATTTTCCTCGAATGTTGAGACTTATGTAATTGTTACCTCACGAATGTTTGCTCTTGCAATTACTCCAGCCTTCCACCATGAGATGAGTTCGAAGGAATTCATTCCTTCTCTGTAGCATTTTCCAGACTCGGCATGCACTTTGAAAGCTGCATTGTAGATGACGCCATGCTCAGAGTGTTTGGTTACTTTCGAGAGATCTTCAACAAGCTTCTTTACTCTCTCTCTTTCCTCCAATTCATGTTCTCTCTTTCGAGCTTCTTCTTCGTGTTTCTCCCATAGTTCTCTATTTTGTCTCTTGATTCTTTCGTTTTGGGTGCTTATGTGATGTTGTCTAGTGTGATTTTCCTTTGTCTTCAGCCAGACAGGGACATTGCAACCCTCAAAACGTTTTCCACTGCCTTCTTCATAAGGTCTGAACTCCACAAAATTTCCTACGCCATCCATAGTTACCTTGTCATTCCTCATGAGTTTCTGCCTTAGGTTCGTCTTTTCTCTCTTGGAGAGCCCAGTGAATACAAATTGTGACTCAGAGCCATAGGATTGACGAGGTTTGAATGCTTGTGATCTGGGTTGAGAGTGACCACGATTTGAGTAATGTCTTGACTGTGAAGGATGGTGGCCACGAGACTTGGATGGAGGATATGATGGCTTTGTGCTTCTTTGCCTAGAGTCTCTTGGTGCATGAGATGGAGAGTGTTCTCTCGTGTTGTCCCTCGGATGATTGTCATCCTTATCATCATGGTTTCGCTTTTCCCCCTTTTTGGCATCATCGGCACACGAGGTAGGAGGGACGGAGGAAAGCTTATTAACTGCAATCAGAATGTCTTGAGCATACCCGAGAATTTGAAGAGCATATTGTCCCAGTTGATATGTATTTTCTTGTGAAGTCTCTATCTTTGAGCAAGCTAAGTTAACACACTCTTTGAGGCTGTAGTTGGAGTGCTTAAGTTCGTGCTGTTGACGAGCCACTTTGTCGACAGAGGTGTGAAGTTCATGAAGTTCCTTAGCCAATTGCTTGTTGAATTGTTGATCAGGTTTGGCTTGCGGTGGAGGTTGAGATTGCTCTTGTGGTGGTGGACGAGACTGAGTTTGAGCAGCCATCAATTGATCCACCTTCTTGGATAAGTCTTCCAGAACTTTGGTGTCCCTTTGCCGAAGAATCAAGTATTGCTGATGTGTAATTTCGGCAGCATGAACAGTATCCCTCATGAGGTTCATGACATTTCGTGGGGACACTGGAGGAGAGTCATCTTCAATATTGGTTTGTGGAGTATCTACCTGGTCTTCTTGAAGTGGTGCATTCTTTTTGCCACCACTAGCTGAGCTGAGAAGGATTGGTGAGGCTTCCAGTTTGCCCTCACGTACAACTGCTTCCTCACGTTTTATCGGTGTCTCGTCCATGGGTTGAACATGTGGGACGAGAGCACGAGACAGATCCTCAGGATGATCAGTTGAAACGTCTTCATCTTGTTGTGATGCTTCCCGTGTGTCATCACTGTCGGAGGGTGATTTTTGAGCTGGAGATCTTTGGGGAAAGGTGTCGTAATCAGGACCGACCATGAGGGGAGATTCACTGTCATAGTTCGGGTCAGCCCCTTTATCGCCGTCATTACCCGAATCATCATTGTCATCATCATCATCATCGTTCTCATCATCTGCATCCTCGACATCGTCAGTTTCGCCTTCATCTTCTTCATCTTCTTCTTCGGCCGTGTCAATCTCTCGGCCTTGCTCATCTTTCAAGCCACTGACGTTGCAGTTAGGATCATTTTGGTGTTTCTTCTCAAGGATGGTTTTGACTTTGGATATCAAAATGGCATATCGAACCATCTTCATTGCTTCTACAAATGCTGGGTCCAATGGAGGTTTGTTGAGCTCAATGCAAATCGGAGCCTTGTCCTTTCCGAGAGTGCGATTGGTCATTT